ACATGTACTTACCTTTAACCCACACATGCGCGTACATACATGTGGCTAATCAGCATTGTCGTTGATAAACAAAGAATCTCTTCGTCTGACCGGTTCTCCTTTGCACTGAAGTAGCTACTGTAGACTTGCACAGGCCTATCTTTCGTGAAGCCGACGGTTGGTTTATGTTGAAAGAGTGAAAACACATATTTAAATTGGTAGACCTTTGAGTCAAACATGAAACTTTTCTGTGATGAGGTCAAAACTGGTAACATTCACTCCAAACCATTATATTGATCATGCATTCTTCCCGGTGAAGTTTCCTGTTCCGGTCTTTTTCAACCAACCAGAATGTGGCAAATTTTGAAGCCCGCGATTTTCAGACGATGATGCGAGTTGCAGCTAAGTCTTTTAGTCAATGATTTTGTGATGATAACTCTTGCCAAGAATCTCCATCTCCACTGTGAAGTACATATATTAAAAATGGCTGATCAGAATTACCTCTGCTCTATCGCGTTTTTATGGTGAGAAGTGTTATCTTCAGACCATTTGACCTCCCTTCCTGACTGTCCTGTCCTTTCTGAGCAACCTCTTGTTGTGTTGTTTGCTCTCAAACCTTTGGTTGGCCAGTTATATCCTGTCTGATATGTTTGGGTTCCTATGCAGCCTTGCATTAGTTGTATTTGGAAGTCTTCTGCAGTAAATGTCTTTTCCGTGAGTGGCCACTCATGATCAGATTCTGGTTTCCAAAGAAACGTTAGTCCCTTGAACCTGATACAGAATGTACCATCTGGTGAATGTTTCGAAATTGTAATTCCTCTGCAGAATTTTGTTTTGTAGTTATGTATCTCTACTAATCCTCTGTGGAAACTTAATGAACTCAAGGCAGTTTGCGATAAAGATGTGAATTCGCAGGTTCTTGTGCGTGATGAACCGTAAGACTGAAGTACTGCCCGTCCAATAGAATATATAAGATATGGTGGTCTGCGACCTTCGTGCATAACTTTACTATTGTAGCGGCGGTTGTGAGCTCCATTTTTGGTATTGTCGTTGTCTCTAATGGGTCAACTCTACCTTTCCCCAAGACAAAGGAACAACGCATTTGGTCAAATCGGTGAACTTGTCGTAGGCAGAACATCCTTCCAAATCCTATATCACCAGCATCAGCTAAACAATGAAGTTAACATGAGGCAACTTCACCAAAGTGGTTCTTCTTGTGGCATCGCACAGTCGTCACATGCTCAAATCGAGGAAGCTGAGTTAACCAATCTGTCCAGTCCCAGGGGTCCCATTCCTTTCCCTGATTTGTAAGTCTCTGCAGAATTGATTTAGCCTTAAAGACAAATGTTGATGTTATTCCAAGTGGATCATACACTGAACTGATTTGTAAGTCTCTGCAGAATTGATTTAGCCTTAAAGACAAATGTTGATGTTATTCCAAGTGGATCATACACTGAACTGAAATAATACACCTTCTATTGACAGGTTTGTATTTCATCTGACTTTGGAACCCAAGTGAATCGTTCTCTACAAAACTGTACACTTCAATTGCTCTCTCGATAGGTGCTTTACTGTCTAGACTCCACAATTTAACATCCTTAGAACGATCTTCTTCTGGTATTGATTCGATCACATCAATGCTATTGTTCACCCACTTAGTAATCTGGAACCTTCCAATCCTGCACATTTGTGTCACATTACGTACTAGGCGTATAGCCTCTTTTCTGTAAAAAAAACCCCTTAAGTCATGCAATCATCAACATACACCTTCTTTCTTAAAGTGTCTTAGACCTTTGTTTGTGCAAAGTAACAAACGTTAAGATATGATGTAGCTCCAAACAATGAATAAAAAAATGGATGTGAAATATTTTCTTACAACGCATTGTCATTGATTCAAAATCATTTCGTTTATATTCATGTATACTCTCTTTCTCACCTTCATGCGCTTTAACACTTAGTAAGACATGTAAGTCATCACACACAATAAACATTTCTGACAAAGCCACTACATTTACATGTAGAATATGTGTCAGACATGGGACGTTTTAGATACTTGATCGGCATCATTTGTTTTCAACAATTTACACAGATATGTGAGCATACTTGTAAATAAGCCCTCCTTTATGATGAGAAGACTTGCAATTATGTATTCTCTTGTAATGGGACATTGACATTAACACAATTGCATGCATGGGAAAGATATTTTTTTTATCTTATCAATGCCAAAGGACATTCATCTTTTTGTTTTAGTGACAGATTCAGTACCGGTTTTATCCCGGTAATAAATATTGTCTCGTCCCACATTTTTGGAATTAGTATAAATAGAGGTATTTCCCTGGTATATACTTACATTTAGCCATAATCCGCGGCCGCACGTGCCATTTTGACAACGTAAACAAGTTTCCTTTTCCCCGTTTTCAATATATATTGTCATGTTATTTGAAGTCGTTAATCCAAAAAGGATTTTTGCTTTTATCATGCATTCTGAGACAACATCATGATAAACTATTTAAAAGCGTTTTGTTTTGTGATTCGATTTGGGTTCTCCCTCCTCAGTTATTATCACCCTGGTCCTTCATATTCTTACATCTTGCATGTGAATACATTTTTCTTTTACTACAGCTATGTGATAAAATCATACCATTTTAACTGGACTGATTGTTCGGGCAGTTATTTTCTCCATTGAATACTTCCCATCTGCAATTATGCTTCGATAACGTTATCCTTCCAATGTCCTTTGACCACTTGGCAACTTTTTGCTTTGTAGCTGATACTGTAACGGTTATCACTCGCTGACACTTTCCACGATAATTTGTTGGCAATTAAATGGCGTGTTATGCGCATACATTATAAGATGTGAAGCGCAAAATATCTACCTTATAAAATGATGGTTAGACGTCTGAATTATGATATTGATTATACATATTTTATGCATATATTTCAGCGAAATCAGACCGTCATTCTCCATTGGGAGACGCACTTGATACATCTCTGCCTTATTGGAAAAACAAGACACTAAAACATTACTTTCCCGTGATATCCCTTTCAGCAGCCAAAACATATCTCTATTGTTTGTCTTAACTCACAATTTTTCTGCATGTGTCGAGTGAATGCGAATTCAAATCACTGTATGGGCATTCAGAGTCTATATCCGACCTAGACGCTTCAACTTCACTCAACGTTATTGACACACTTCCTGTCCTGTTCCCATGGCGACATTACCATAAGTAGGATCGTAGCCTTTAGTTGCTTCTATCTTAAGAAAGTTCACAAATCAGTGAACTCAACACGTTTCTTGGCCTCCTTAAGATACCATTCTCCATTTGTCGTGGAAATGAAAAGGGAGTTTAAGCGAGTACTCAGAGTACTCAAGGACCCCATTTGACTCAATAGTCACATCTTCTCACATTCCACGAAAAAAAATGTAAATCCACCGAGAGCCTTGGCATCTCCGGCAAGCACCGAGGGCCAACCTAATGCCGTCTTAATAATGGCAGTTGCTATAACTTCATCATCACAAGTTGTTTCATATCAGCAACACGTGTCCTCTCTCCTTTCAGATGGCTGAGTTGCTCTTAATAGTTCATCCTCTCACCATCATCATCTGTATCGGTTACTAACTTAGTCTCAAACTGGCGAATGCATCTTCTGTAATCTAGGGGTCGCTACTGAACTTCTTTATTTCTGGTACAAATTTTCGAAAGTGCTGCACGAATTACTGAAATGTTACCTCTGTGAAATCAACAAGGTTGCTTATGGGTTGTGTTGCTGCAGGCTGCACGAGGAGTTGATGCTTTACGTCAGAAAACCTTGCCGGATATAGAGAAGTCACTAGCGTAGGGGAGGTATCCCTAAGTTCTTCTCACCAAGGTGTCCTTCCTTCTTAATTGTCTGGTCACCATGCTTGCTGGCAATTACTAACTCGTAATGTTGTCACGTCACATGGTGTCCGTTGTTTCCTTGTCTCATAGTCTGTTTATATCTTTTTGTAGTACAACTATTAATCGATGACTATAATTGAAGAAGCCTATGGTTACTTTCCCCAAACCAGCTATTAAACTCTTCTTGTTTATTGGTTTTGACTTGAGGGGAAAGTTTCCCATACAGTTAATAACACTTTACATATTCCTTCATCCATAAAACAGTATGTCAACTATTCAGTGCCTTGTATTTCCTGTGTATCTGATCTATTTGGTATGGAACTGTTATCAACCCAAACTTGTTCCAGCTGTTACTGGGTCTGTTCTTTGTTGACCAAGTTATTCATCTGTCATCACTGCGTGGATGATACGTCAATGTGAACGTAGACCCCAATCTTCTATACAACCTCTAAGTGATGACAAAGCGACGCCAATTCATTTTCGGAGGAAAGGTTGACGTATAGGTTTCTCACTATAAAGTTATGTTAAAGGAACCTAAACTGGAACATGGGCCGACATGTTTTTATCGTTTAACCATCCCATAATAGCCAAAATAATCAGCAAAATAAAGAGACTTCCGGAATAACAAAAAATGGCAATAACAACGAATAAGGCGGTAAGTAGGGGATGCGAGTGGATTGTACATGTGTTTGAAACTTTAACGAAAAGAGAAACACACCAGTTCTTTCCAACCTCTTGGCATTTTTCGGATGGCTGAACGCCACCAAATAATACAAATGTTTAATGCCAATGTTTATCTTAGGATGAACAAGTTTGGTGATCCATACCACGTCCTGTATTACAACATATTTGCACATTTTGAAAATTAATATTGCCATACAAGTTTATCCGTTTTCTATTGATTTCATTGCGATTTATTAGATTTTGCCCATGCCATGTCAATGATAAAAAAAACTGTTGTTCCTTTAAACAATAAACCCCCCATAAAATGCACCTAAAATTAGCAAGAGTATTGTACTTCATATGGCACAGATTGACAGTACTCATATATACGTTGTAGGTAAGCTAAGCTGTGCAGATTTGTTTTATTTTATTTGTTGATAGGGTGATGATAACAACTTAATTAGGGTTTTTTTCCAGAGGGAAACCAGGAGGCAATTACCGCAGTAATACGTGATCAAGCTACATTTAACTGCAGCTGTAGCAGACCCAGCCCTAGTACTCTCAACAAGTTAGAATCGGTGAGTTATTATTTTATTATCACGTACATCTACTTGTGTACCAACCCCGGGTCTAACTACTAGAAACAGAACCAAACCGACTGTATCTTTCCTTTACACCTCAGTCGTATTGATGTATGCTAATAATATACATACCACTTTGCCTTAGGTTACTACCTGAACATATTCAACTATTATTAATGTTCGTTGCATTGAGCTGTTAAGTGTTAAAGGGAGCTTTGCAAATAGTTCATTTTATTAGGTACACTTGCTACCAGCTACTAAGATGTTAGGAAGAATTTGACGATGACAACAACAGTGTGATGGTGATGATTTTATTGTGAGAATGATGTTGATTTCAGTCATGATGATGATGATGATAATAATAATAATAATGAAAATGATGATGACAATGGGATGATGATTTTGTGTTACGATGGATATATCAGTGTGATTATTGTGATGATGATGATGAATATGATGATGATGATGATGATGATGATGATGATGACATTAAAAGACATGCAGTGGTTTTATATAAATCTTCTTATTGTGTATAAAGTCATCAAACAAGTGTCAGAGTGGCCAATGTCATATAACATTACAGGGCAGTAAGACATTCTGTTATAGCGGATAACTCAAAACATCAAAAGCCCATTACAATAACAATATTGATAATAGAAGAAAATTATCTGTATATATTTGGTAACATGTGGTTTGCCTAGAGATACACTTAAGCATTGCACTGTTATGTATGGTATTTATGATCTATTTGAATGACTCAGCTTTGCACGCAAACAACATAATGCGCGCTATATTTACGTTTTCCCTGCCTCTAATGTTCTTTTTTTAACTTACAATATATATTTAAAATTTGAAATTCCCGTCTTATCGACAGTCCATACAAATTCATTCAATAGTTGGAACAGCGTGTTGTCGCGTGCTGATTGGCTAACAAAGTAGTACTTTGACATTTTAACAAACACTTCAATTCAGTATCAATACAATTGCGTATGATATGTCTATAGGGTGATTTAAGTTTATCAATAGAACTCTGAGCTGAAAGGTAGATTGGAAATTGTTTCGATTTTTCCCCGGAACAAATTTCGCGCCAGGACAAATACAGTGAACACCGTAAATCCGACTTTGCCCTCAACGAGGGAGTTATTTTTTGAAGTTAATTCGAACTTTTCTCTTTGATTATTTTGTGAAGAGTCCAGACGTGAATTTATTTGTTGATTGTATGGGAATCTGACTACAGTCAGTAGATTTTTAACGGCCTCGTTATTTGACATGTCGTCAGAAATTGAGGAAACCGTGGCTGCGAGACGCGTGAAACTGATATCGTTTGAAGTGAGTGATCTTGCGACGGAGCACAGGGGTTGGTTACAAATGTTTGAAATGTTTATGTGTGTAAGTGTGGTTACGTGTACAACACCAGTGTAGTTATGTGTACAGCACCAGTGTAGTTATGTGTACAGCACCAGTGTAGTTACGTGTACAACATCAGTGTAGTTACGTGTACAACACTAGTGAAGTTACGTGTACAAATAATGAAGTAACGTGTACAAAACTAGTGTAGTTATGTTTACAGCACCAGTGTAGTTATGTGAACAACATCAGTGTTGTTACGTGTACAACATCAGTGTAGTTACGTGTACAACATCAGTGTAGTTATGTGAACAGCACCAGTATAGTTACGTGTACAACATCAGTGTAGTTACGTGTACAACACCAGTGAAGTTATGTGAACAGCACCAGTATAGTTACGTGTACAAAACCAATATAGTTACGTGCATTACACCAGTGTAGTTACGTGTACAACATCAGTGTGGTTACGTGTACAACACCAGTGTAGTTACGTGTACAACATCAGTGTAGTTACGTGTACAACACCAGTGTAATTACGTGTACAACATCAGTGTTGTTACGTGTTCAACATCAGTGTTGTTACGTGTACAACACCAGTGTAGTAACGTGTACAACACCAGTGAAGTTACGTGTAGTACACCAGTGTAGTTACGTGTACAACACCAGTGTAGTTACATTTGTACGTGTACAACACCATTGAAGTTACGTGTATTTCACCAGTGTAGCTCCGTGTACAACATCAGAGCAGTTACGTGTACAACACCAGTATAGTAACGTGTACAAAACCAATATAGTTACGTATACAACACCAGTGTAGCTATGTGAACATCACCAGTGTTTTGTTGCGTGTAGAACATCAGTGTAGTTACGTGTACAACATCAGAGCAGTTACGTATACAACACAACTGTAGCTATGTGAACACCACCAGTGTTTTGTTACATGTACAACACCAGTGAAGTAACGTGTACATCACCAGTGTAGTTACGTGTACAACATCAGTGAAGTTACGTGTACAACATCAGTGTTGTTACGTGTACAACATCAGTGTAGTTACGTGTACAACATCAGTGTGGTTACGTGTACAACATCAGTGTGGTTACGTGTACAACACAAGTATAGTTATGTATACAACACCAGTGAAGTTACGTGTACAACAACAGTGAAGTTACGTGTTCAAAACCAGTGTAGTTACGTGTACAAAACCAGTGTAGTTACGTGTACAACATCAGTGTGGTTACGTGTACAACATCAGTGTAGTTACGTGTACAACATCAGTGTAGTTATGTGAACAGCACCAGTATAGTTACGTGTACAACATCAGTGTAGTTACGTGTACAACACCAGTGAAGTTATGTGAACAGCACCAGTATAGTTACGTGTACAAAACCAATATAGTTACGTGCATTACACCAGTGTAGTTACGTGTACAACATCAGTGTGGTTACGTGTACAACACCAGTGTAGTTACGTGTACAACACAAGTATAGTTATGTGTACAACACCAGTGAAGTTACGTGTACAACAACAGTGAAGTTACGTGTACAAAACCAGTGTAGTTACGTGTACAAAACCTGTGTAGTTTACAACAAGGGCGTATAATACGTTCAATAAAGTTTTAGTGAATGTACATTGTCATGAATTTTATTCATGTGAAATATTCTAGTTCATACAACTTGTGTTTTTCTGATACCTGTTAAGTTTGAATAATTGCTTGCTGAATAAATCCAGTGCAATGTAAGCTGCAGTCTCATTTCATTTGAGATTTCTCGTAACTTCATCTGGTCAAAACTATATTCACTAGCGTGGTTATTGCATCTGTCGTCTGGTGGTCAAGAAGTGTTGTAAACGCTTTGATCCCCAAACAACTTGGGGAATTCCACTAGCTTAAACTTGGGGTATGTCCTTATAGGATTAAGTACATATTTGTACGATATTTAGCTTTACAATAGTTTGAGGGGGTAATGATCAACCGTAATTGGCTTTCAGTATTTATGAACATATTCTTTTCTATAGTCTTGAGAAAATCTAGTACATTTAACTATTTGTTGATTAATAAAAGAGAATCGTCCTCTCAATTGAGGAAGAGAATGAATGAATCTTCAATCCAAAAGGTGCAGACAAATTCAAATCTAGGAATGATTGGACCAAGACTATTTAAACAGTTTTTGCCAGATATGGGGTGTTACAGTAAAAGGCACTGAAGACATGGGGGCTATCAATTGATATTGTCATACAAAAAATGTGATAGAAAGCTCCACAACTCCTGAAGATCTTGAACTTTCTTTATCTTACACGAGTTAGTTTTTTTGAAAACTTACACGACTTTTTTCTCGTTACAGGCGCCTAAACGAACAGAAAGCATCTTCATCGAAGAGCAAAGTGAACGGAGGAAAACAATGCTAACGACATGTCGTTCTCTCGGAAAGAACTACACCGGAACTCTACCAGAAGTGAAATTGAAAACTCATATGATTTACGATGATCAAACCGATCTTCTGTTCTGTAATATAGCGAAAGTTGGGTCAACCTTTCTGAAACAAGTCTTTCAAATTTTGTTTGGCTATCATCATCGAAAAGATCCTTTTAGCATTAAAGGCGGCACTGTTCACCAATTACCTTTTGATACATTTGACAAAATTCAATACGACCAGGCCCTGGCGGTGCTAATGCGTTCCACTAAGATTATATTTGTCCGAAATCCTTACACAAGAATGCTTTCAGGATATGTCGATAAACTCTTCACTAATAATCACGTGTTCTGGAGAAGTACAGGTAAAATCATCTTGAAAAATCATCGGAAAAATCTCTCGATAAAATCCAAGGAATGTGGTCATGACAGTACTTTTCCGGAGTTTATCAAACACGTAATCGAATCAGAAACGTCTGGTAAAAACCGAAACCCTCATTGGTGCCCTATGTATGATGTATGCCGTCCGTGTAGCATTCAGTATGATGTCATTGGGAAAATCGAATCATTCAAAGAGGATCTTGGAAGTTTTCTAAAAAGTCAACATTTAGATGAAATTGTTGACATTTCTAAAATGAACCAAGGGAACGAAAGAGAAGCTATATATCTGACGGTCAGCAGAGCATACGATGTGGTATTACGCGTACCGAAGTGTGCCTCTCTTCCACAAGCGCTTGAACGTGCTTGGAAGGTTCTACAAATAAGAGGGGTCTTGAGCCAGTTGGCCGAATTCCCCTATAAGATGATAGAGCACAATTCAAACATAAGTAAATCTCTTTTTCTAGACGTCATTGCTAAAGAAATCAAACGGTTTCCAATGACCCAATCGGACAAGCTGTTGTCAAAAGAACAAGCGGTTGTTAAAGCCTATGAATCTGTTTCGTCGTCCGATCTAGAGCGATTCACTTCCATCTTCCATCCAGATTTTTCTTTATTTGGATACGAAAAAGACATTGGAAGGAAGCATCGTAATTTCTTAAAATGGGAACCATTCAAGTTTAAACTTTGAATTAAAATTCAGTCCATTAGATTGTATATCTCAACTTATATTACTTATTCCATGATTGTATAAAAAGAATGGTTCTTCTAGTAAAGTTTAAGAAACAAAACATCAACGTATTATCAAACAAAACATATGTAACGTCAATAAAAAATAGCAAACGAGATATATTGAAAATTCAAACTGTTCCGGATGCATTTATGGTGCAAAAAATCTGAAGGAGTTTTAGGGGACATTCTTATTTTTTGGAGAAATCCAACATTTTATCATGAGGTCTGCTCATCAAATCCGTCGTGGCGGCCATTTTGAAAATTCTTTATCATGAACAAGCTTATTCCTTATCCCCTTCAGTTTAAACGCTCAGACGACCTGATGTCTACTTATCAAAATTGCGTCGAAAACCTGATAAAAAAGACTAATCACATATAATATTACAGCTGTGAGTGTCGTATATTGTAGCTCTAAGTGTGATATATTATAGCTCTGAGTGTGGTATATGATAGCTGTGAGTGTCGTATATTGTAGCTTTAAGTGTGGTATATTATAGCTATGAGTGTGGTATATTAAAGCTCTGAGTGTCGTATATTGTAGCTCTAAGTGTGGTATATCATAGCTTTGAGTGCGGTATAGTATAGCTATGAGTGTGTACATTTTAGCTCTGAATGTAGTATAATAGCTCTGAGTGTGGTAAATTATAGCTATGAGTGTCGTATATTGTAGCTCTAAGTGTGGTATATTATAGCTCTAAGTGTGGTATATTATATCTCTGAGTGTGGTATATCATAGCTTTGAGTGCGGTAAAGTATAGCTATGAGTGTGTACATTTTAGCTCTGAATGTAGTATAATAGCTCTGAGTGAGGTATATTATAGCTCTGAGTGTGGTATAGTATAGCTCTGAGGGTGGTTACATTATAGCTATGAGTGTCGTACATTGTAGCTCTAAGTGTGGTACATTAAAGTGTTGTATATTGTAGCTCTAAGTGTGGTATATCATAGCTCTGAGTGTTTATATTATAGCTCTGAGTGTTTATATTATAGCTCTGAGTGTCGTATATTGTAGCTCTGAGTGTCGTATATTGTAGCTCTGAGTGTGGTATACTGTAGTTATGAGTATCGTATATTGTAGCCCTAAATGTAGTGCATTGTATATCATAGCTCTGAGTGTGGTATACTGTAGTTATGAGTATCGTATATTGTAGCCCTAAATGTAGTACATTGTATATCATAGCTTTGAGTGTGGTAAATTATAGCTATGAGTGTCGTATATTGTAGCTATGAGTGTCGTATATTGTAGCTCTAAGTGTGGTATATTATAGCTATGAGAGTCGTATATTGTAGCTCTAAGTGTGGTATATTATATCTCTGAGTGTGGTATATTATAGCTCTGAGTATGGTATATTATAGCTATGAGTGTCGTATATTGTAGCTCTGAGTGTGGTATATTATAGCTCTGAGTATGATATATTATAGCTATGAGTGTCGTAAATTGTAGCTCTGAGTGTGGTATATTATAGTTCTGATCGTGGTGTTTCCGGAGGCGGCAAAGCCGCTGAAGGATATAGTTTTTTTCACCAAGGGTAACCATAAATTTGCTAATTCCCGAATTACCCTTTCTACAAGTGTTTTATTACCATTCTATAACTGTTTTATCATAACAAAACAAATTAAGGCAAGTTAACAAATCAATTTATTTATTCATTATGAATTCTTTAAACAAATTCAAAGACAGAACAAATATTACAATTGGAAGTGCTGTATGCATCGTTGTTGATGATATCTTCATTTCTAGCATTCAATAAGTGTTTTGTAGACCGTATCTAATGGTCACCATTGATTTCCTAGCATATTTAGTCCCATCCACTTTTCTAAGTTCTGCATAAAACTTGCATGAACACACGTTCACCTCCTCTGTGCTCGCTCTGTCCTAATCGTCGACGCATCCGGCATTCCATTTAGTTAAATAAATACACTGCAGTCTTAACAACAGCTTTTGTATTTAGGCTATACTTTTAGCTTCCAAAATATGCTGTTATTCCTCATCTGTAATGATCAAAACGGCCTACACCGGTGGCCATTTCTGGTGCTGTCGTTTTATTTTGAATTGTGACGTCACCTGCGTCATGGAGAAGGCCCCGCCTACCGAATGTTTTTATTGGTTGACATTTTATAAGCTCCGCCTACAAATATTCATGAGGGAGTAATCCTATTTACTGTCAGGGAGTAGTCCTTTTTTGCAGAGAGTAGTCCTACTTTGGGGAGGGAGTAGCCCTCAGATGGAGAGATTTAAGCGATTTAAGGGAAATAGGAGATTTTATTATTATAATTATCTTTTTATTCAGTTTTTTCATCAATGCAATGTACATGTACAATAAATAGCAAAACATTCACTCATTTGTATACTGGCACATACCGGGTACATACACATAAACTCTGTTATGTCCATATTTGTCATCGAGTACATACATTTTCACAATAGCATAAACTTATATACTCATTTCCGTCTATTTTTACATTTTAACATTTTATTACCCATATCCATGTGTCTGACATATATATGTCTCAATCATTCATTGATATGTCTCGTGTAAAAATAGAACACATATTAACTTTCATCACATATGGTATATATCTTTATGCTAGAAACAAAATCTGCACTAAATTATATATAACACACATACTGTATAACTCATATCCATGTCAAAAAACACCCATGTCCATGTATAAACATTATCAAAATGATTTCACCATACTCACATGCGTTGTATTCACACAAACCCATTTGCATGACATTAGATATTTTCAGACATATTCCTGTATCTACTGATTATTGATATATAAATGCAAAGAGAAGAAATATCAGTCCCACACAAAAAGGTAAATGAGAAATTTTGCACAGACTGTCTACTGAGTACATTGCATTGTCTTTATAAGAAAGAGTATTTGAGATAGAGATTGAGAAAATAAAAAGAAAGGAAGAACAGAGAACATAAAGAAAAGAGAGAGGAAATGTAGGAAAAGTTGGGCGAGATGTTGGAAAAAGAGGTGGATATTCACTTATGTATGCTATATCATATATAGGTAATATATCGGCTTTGTGAAGGGCAGAAATTAGAATATGTTTGATGGAGTATGTCTTAAACATAATAATTATAATGATAATATGATAATAAAAATGTATTACAACTTAATTAGTTGGTCCCATTTTTCCAGTTATTTTCAAATTTATGTTTAGCTTTTTCATCCTTACCATCAACAATGTATTTTTGAATCTGAGAGTTGTCTTTTATTATGTTTACAAGAGCGTTTATATTTAATGAGTTATGTAAACATCTCATTCTGTAAATATACTGCTTTATAATGATGATGATTTCACTATCTACTCGATTACTGGGAAGAAAATTCTGATGAAGAAGGCCAAAAAGAAAATATGTTTTGTTTACTGAAAATGGGATTAAAAGAGCTTCCATTAATGTGTCAAAACTTTCTAGTAATCTTTGTACTTCCTCACATTCCCATAATATATGAGTAATTGTTTCCAGTTCAGAGTTGCATAATACATAAAGAGGGGAGACAACTACTCCAATTGTAGATAGAAATGAGTTATTTGTAAGTACATGATGAATCACTCTCTGAATCACTGGAATCACTGAAGTTTTGTATTTGTTGTTACACAGAATGGCATTTTGTAGATTTTACACCAGGTTTGTTTATTCATGTTGTCGAATATAGTATTCCATTTTCTGGTGCCGGATGGTATCTTGTCCGATTTGATTATGATGTTGTAAAACATTTTTGACCCTTTTTTTAACTCTAAGAAAAAATTCTAAATTGATAGGTATGTAGGGATAAATTGTCTCAAATCTGTATGTATTATATGATGAAATAAAGTCTTTAACTGCAGAGACAAGACCCTGATACTGTAAAAAAATGTGTTTACTTGGTATTTTCGAATAAATTCTACAAATGTGTAAAACAAACCTGTGCTAACCTCCTTTATCATATCATTTACAATAAAAATGTTTTTCTGATAATATTTTTTTTATAAAAAAACAGCTCTTCCTCCTATCTTGATTTTACTATTATACCAAATGGGAACTTTCAATATGCTTTCCTGAAGAGTTTTATCATAATATTTTGTGTTAAGTGTGAACCATGATCTGAGCACATCACTCCAGAATTTATTTTTACACTTATTTACACATTTCTGAATATATTCAGAACCACAATTTGCAAGAAGATCTACTGTATGTCAATATAAGTTTTAAGTATGGCCTGCCATTTCTCAGAACTCTGATAGAGTCTTCTGATCCAAGAGAGTATATAAATGCAACAAGATTGATCATCTTCAAACCACCATCAGCATAATTTTGAGTAATTATCTCTATTTTATTTATTTTTCTGTTTTTCCACTAAATAAATAATCAAATAATATTGAGTTGAGTTTGATAATAAATCTATCATCTGGATTAGGTAATGATATAAACAGGTGATTAAATTGAGAGATGAGCAATGATTTGATATGTATTTTTTTCCAATATGTGTTAATGACCTTCTGTTTCAAATTTTTATTAGAGATTTTAGTTTGATACATTTTTTGTCAAAGTTAAGTTTTGGTATTTCATCTTTTTTCTTCTCCCACTGCAAATTAAGTTCAGGTAAAAAACAATCTTCACTATACTTACTGCTATCAATCCATATCACTTGAGTTTTATCAATGTTCATTTTAAAACCAGATTTGTTTGCAAATTAATTTAGTTCTTTTACTGTTTCCTTTAGTGATTTCTCAGAGACATCAAGTATAAGTGAAGAGTCATCGGCATATTGTGATAATAAAATAGGGCAACTTTCTCGATACCTTTTACATTTCTATTATTTCTCAATTTTGTAGCCAAAACCTCTGCACAAAGAATAAACAGATACGGTGCGATTGAATCCCCCTGTGGACAGCCCCTCCTGATATCAAAGAATGAAGATATGTTTTCCCCCTGATTTATAGCTTAATGAACATTATTATGTAAAGTTTTAAACCAGTTTACAATGCTATTACCAAAACCAAAGAGAAGTAGAACCTTTTCAATAAATAACCAAGACACTAAATCAAATGGCTTCTGAAAAATCAATCATCAGTAGCATGCCAGGTATGTCATTCTCCTCAGTACAATGCATAATATCGTATATTAATCTTGTATTTACCCCTATATAACGACCCGAAAGAAAAAAGTTTGATCATCATTTATTAATTTATTGAGAACAGTTTTTATCCTATTAGCTATAGTTTCAGATGCAATTTTGTATCGATGTTTAATAGTGATATGGGTCTCCAATTTTTAATGAAATGCCTTGGTTTGTCTGCTTTTGGTATACAAGTTATTATTCTCTGTCTCTGCGTTATAGAAAGTTGTCCTGTACGATAACCATAATTGATTGATCTGACTATAAACTCCCCCAATTTTCCCCAAAAGCATTTAAAAAATTCTGTTGAAAATCCATCCGACCCTGGGCCTTTATTATTTTCCATTAATTTTAAAGTTTGTACTGCCTCTTTATATGTAATTTCCCCTTCTAGACTATCAGACTCATCTTGAGATAGTTTAGAAATTTCATTATTATTAAGATAACATGTCAAGTTTGCATTCTGTATATTATTATCTGTGCTGTTAGAGACACCATAAAGATTTTTATAAAATGAGCAAACTTCCTTTAATATGACTTCCTGTTTTGTTATTATATTGTTATTGTCGGTTTGTAATTTTGGTATTATTTTTGAGATATAATTTCTATTTTCTAAATTTAAAAAATAACTGGTAGGTTTTTCCCCTTCTTCTGCCCATTTCGCCCGTGATCTTAAAATACTGCCTTTAATCTTATGTTTTCTTATCTTCTCTAAATAATGTTTTCTCCCATTTAATTCATCTAAATTAACATTTTCCTGTGCCTCAAGCCCTTGTATTGTTCTTTTAAAGAGATTTTCCCTAAAGTTTTGTAGCTTTTTCTTATATGATGCATATGATATTGATTTCCCTCGAATTTCCATAAGCAAAATTTACAAAAATAACTGGTCATTAATAGTAAATTGAATCTCGGAAGAAGGGATGTTTTCAATATTGTTCAAATGATAGATTGGTATGCAATATTGTTTCTTTACATCATTGATGCAATTATTAACTATTTTTAAGTATTCTGAATCATGTAGAAGTGAATGATTAAGTTTCCATGTCCCTCTACCTCTTTTAAATTCATTTAACGACACTGATATCTTGGGAAATGAATGATTCGACCTATAACCAAGATCTATACCTGTGTGATTAATACTAGACAGAAGACTCTCTGAAACAATAAAAAAATCTAGACATGCCTGTTTAACCGGGTTCTGTTTTCTCCAAGTATATCTCCTAACATTTTCGTGTTGTTCTCTTAAGACATATACAAGACCAAAATTATCAATTATATCTAATACTTTGTCTCTGGCTTTTGGATTGTTAATGTTTCTATATATGTTGTCATAATCGAGCTCGGGTTTTAAAACAAGGTTAAAATCACCACAATTAGTAACATGTGTTCAATCAAAGTCTTCAATCGTGTCAGAAAGTTTTGCATAAACATCAGGACTATCTTGATTGGGCCCATAGATATTTATCAGTGTAATGTGGGAACCTTCTATTTCTATATCTAACTCTATGTGTCTCTCTTTTCTTTATGAGCTTTGCACTCAAAGTTATTTCTAAAAAGAATAGCTACCCCACGACAGTTTCCACGAAAGGACGAAAAATATGAATCATAGTCCCATTCATTTCTGATGAGCTCTTCGTTATCTTCTGTGAAATGTGTATCTTGTAAACAGAAAATGTTGTGGTAAGTATCTCTAAGATATGAGAACACATTTTTACGCTTTTCTCTATTCTAAAGCCCTTGCACATTAGCCGATATAATCCTCACACCCTCCACTTTTCCATAAAAGCCTTTGGTTCCACCATCTCCAGCCCAAGAAAAATAGATAAGGCAGATAGATCGGAGAACAGAGAAAGAGAGAAAGATTACAAAGAAAGAATATAAAATCATTCAATATTTGGGTAATGTCTCGACAATACGCTGTTTAAACTATTGAACGAAATTGTTCGGACTGTCGATAAGGCGGGCATTTTTAAAGTTTCGTAGCCACATTGAAACATTTGTATTAAATACGTAAAGGAAATATCTATAACTATGAAATAAATATGAAATGTCAAATATATCCTATCACGTCAGTGTAGTTTCTGCAACCACAGTATACATCATATAAACATACAACTAAATCGGGCTATATAATGTTTACTTATTGTTCAACAGATTGTTTACAATTAAAGCATATTGTCAGCCATCATCTGTTTTTTAAAGTAACCAGCCTTTCATGTTCTTAAATTCATCATTAACATAGATATACACTCTTATCGCAACAAAAGCATGTTTAACTAAAGTGACGAAAGTTGGATCTTATATGATAATTGTCAAATATTGTCTCCCTAATGTGGTTGTTATGGCTGTTGTTTATAACAGCCTTGCTAATATTTTTTTAAACTACAATTGGTGGCCAATTAAAAAAAACTTTATAATGAAGATATTTATTCCTTATATTTTCCCATTCAGTTCACACGCTCAGATGTCTCAATATTTACTCAGGTCCAAATATAGAAACATCCGGTTTACAGCTGATTTACACGTGACCATACATGTTAAACCTGCAGGATGGTCTCATTTCAAGCATACATGTAATGATTTGTGGGTTGATATCAGACATGATATTGCGACCCAGGCATATATAAAGCATGCCAAATCGAAAGTTCTAAATCGAGACGAGGGGTTCCAAGACTCTCGCACATCTATGACCAAGTATTAAACAAAGAGTAGCTGAACCAAGTCATGGATTTTTGTGGGCAACTCGTACACATTTAAACCGTTGTGTGCATACGCTTCACTGGTCATTTTTCTGACGAAGGCGACAGTGAACATATAGTACTACATTTGTAGTCATCGACACGTCATATATACATGGTTGTGTAAAAAGAACTTTTCATAATCCATACTTACCAACCGGAAGAAAACGTTTAGAACTATTCAGATGAGTTGTTTTCAGATTATTGACTATGATTAGTTTTCGAACTGACCGACGTGATCTAGATACCTAACGCAAGGCTTCACATTTTTGATGATATTTCATTTACTATTTCTTTGCACATTTACATCAATTTATGCAAAGTTACCCACATATTATTTCTACTGACATGTGTCTGTGGATGCCACATATTCCCACATAGGGTTGTATAAACTCCATAGTACCACTTTTTTGAAGACAAGATTAGATCTAAAAATATAACAAAGCATTTTGGTATAGTACAGCGACAATTACAAACATTGATAACTTATTCCTGCTAAAATTTCTTCATTTGATATTTCAAGCATAGTTAAATACAATGAATGGTGATGAATTGTGCACAACAATTTTGAAGATTTGGCTGTGTTAAGATCATAATGGAGTTATTTTTATTGATTTTCCGTTTATATTTTGACATAGCATGTTCATTTTATATTCGCTTTATGGTATAACGATATTCTGTTTAATGGGTTGGGTTGTCAACCTTCATTACCAAATCCATTTTAAAATCTTTGGGAAGAACAGGGAACGATTTTCCGTACCAAAATCAAAGCACGATGTCCGTTAACAGCCGTTCAACTTAGCAATGTTATTGACAAAATAACCCGCTTTTACCTTTGGGTCGCTATTTGTGTAAAATGTACCGCGAAAACCCGTTAATACATTCATTTATACCAATTCCATATGGAGTCAATTTATCATAAGAGCCCACGTGTTAAAACATCACTGGGACCGGTAAAATGATATCTTTTCCTGATACTGAGACGTTGTCTTCTCCTTTACTGCACCATGTGATCCGTCGATTCAGGGGCCACGGTGACCGCGTTGTTAAGGCGTCTGACCGTCTCCACCACTTAGTAGCGAGTTCGATACCTACATATGGCAGTTAATAGGACGTAAAACACAAACAAACCAAAACCGTCAAGGCATCCATTAATGCCAATTCCAAATGGAGTCATTTTATCATAAGGGTCCAAGTGTCAAACATCATTGGGACCGGTAGAACGATACCTTCTCCTCACAAGTGTTCTCCTTAGGTACACGCCCGACGAGTCAAGTGAGTACATACTTGAGATGCACCATACGATACCCGTGTTGACGGCCAGACATATCCAGTTGACAACCTATCAAACTGGCAACACGTATAATGTCTGAACGGTTCCTTGATAAACCTTCATTGTTAAGCACTCCTCGCAAATTTCTTTCAGATATCCTAAATCTGTGTTCTTTTGCAAGAAACGAGGATATTTCCTTTTGAGTGAACGCCAATTGGTGAACATGCAAAGCATATAAGGGCGTTTCTTTCCTCTATCTTACATTGAACTTGATTTGATAAAGAAACGAAATGACACTGTTTAACGATGCAACTTAACCCAGATACTTTGTCTTTATACAAAGAGTCGTTATAACGAGAAACTAACTCATT